CAGTAACCAGGAAGTGCTGGGGCTCTACTGGTCAGCAGGACTGAGCGATAAATTGATTTTATCAATTAGTTGAAATTTTGGAAGATCTGGATTTTTTTTCACTGCTCTCTTTGGTTTCAGTCTGAATAATGCAAGAATAAAGTATTAATATTACCAGAATGAAGTCATCATATTAGAAGACTGAATTAATTTTATGAGAACCCCAACATGAAAAAAAAAACTAATAAAATGAGGCATATTGAGCATCTTGTGAAGCTAGACTTTTGCATCGGTTTTACAGATAAGGAAATATTTAAACTCTTAACACATGAATCAAATTATCAGTAGCAGGAGTTTTAAATGACTGAGTTTCAAGGAAAGAATCTCAAACTGAGCAAATTTCATTCAAGTGTTTTACTCATAATTTAAAAATGTCCTTCTAGTAAAATTGTGGCTTTGTTCCTGCTAATATTATGATTACATGCCTGTAATTAAACAAATATATTAGTCACCCAACTCTCAGAAGTCGTGATTGAAATAAAAGCCACTTTCTGTCACTTGTAATTTATTTCTCAGAAAAGTAAGCGAGAGGGAAAAAAATGAATTAAAATCAGATCTGGTATGAAAAACTAGATTTTATTCGTGACCATATGACCCCGCAGTTTTTGGAGGATTCAGATCACTTTCCCGGCCGTGTGACGCTGTGCCTGGTTTCATCACAGCTGATGTATTTTTAAAGCGGGATCAGCAGCTATAAATAGATCAGGACTTCTCGGCGGTGGAGCCGTAAGAATAGCGGCGCTCAGATGAAAACCAAACCTTGATCACATCTCTGGTCCAACTTTACTTTCAATTCCAAACTTCTGTTCCAACCTGACTGGAGAACCAAAGTAAAACGGGTTTGAGCTTCATGAGATCTGGACTAACGTTGTGACCTTGAGTTAATGACTTCCTGTGGTTGCCACGGCACCGCCTTCCTGATCCCCTGGTTCTTCCTGTTTGGTTCAGCAGCAGCACTTGGTGACCCAAGCATGTCTTCTTGCCAAGTGTGGCTGAATGGAGGTCAGAGGTCATCTGGTGTTTGTTTTTAAAGTGTGGACAGCTTTGACGGATCCTCTGCTGACCGACTGGAGCTTCACATTGGATAAAATCAATTATTTACTTTCTGTTTTTATAAATTCATCCCATTTCCCCCAGTAACTGTGAAATCCTTCATTTGTTTTTCATTAGTTCAGCCTCTGAGGGGTTGTTGGGTGAAATCCTGGCTCCCCTTGGCTTTAAGTAAATCACAGGATCTTCTGAGCAGAACAGAGACAATGAGCTTAATCCCGACGTGCTGCTGTTAGGCTTTACTCATCATTTTACTGTTTGATTTCAAATTAAAAACCAGAGCTCTGCTGTGATTAGATCTGGGTTTGATTGGTTCAGTTTTCACAATGAGAAGCTTTGATTACGGATTGGATCAGTAAATATGCAGACATCGTAATCCAGATTATGCTTCTGGGAATAACGGCAAAATTTCATCTGTGGTCATGAGATCTGGATCGTCTTCACTGCTTCTCTGGAGCAGCAAGAGTCCTAATCAGACATCCGATCATGGTGGCGCCCTCTAGAGGTTTTCCAGGCACTGTGAGGAGACAACAGTCGGTTTAAACCAGTGGTTCCCAAACATTTTCTGGGCTCCCACTATGGATTACAAATAGCTGTCTGGTTGAGCGACGTTTGTGAGCAGGGGGGAAGAGGATTCTTAGAGACACGTCCAAGTTTATGTCAACTTAAAATGACTAAAGTCACACAAACAAGATGAGACCATTGTTACTTAACAAAGAGAAAACTTATCTCAAATATGTTGGAAAAACTTCAAACTCTGTATTTTTAATTTATAAAACCAGTTGTTTAAATAAACTGTTTCATAATTTTATGGTAGAAGATCCTGTTTTCTATCCACTCTGTACATTTTTTACTGAATGTGTTGTTTAATTTTAACAAGTTTCATTTCCAATAAAACTTCTCCTTTAAATTTGTTTGTATTGATTGAAATAACTCAAAGCTTTCGCTGTGAAGAAAATCAGATTATTTTCCCCTTTTATCCCCAGCCAGTCATATTTTCTTTAATAAAAGTACAAATTTGTGTCTCTGATCAAGGTTAGTGATAAGCACCTTTAACATCTTATCAACCCCCTGCCTCCTAGCAACTGTTGCCGGGTAACCAGACGGGTGCCTCTGGCCTCTGAAAGGTGATGAGCATCCTGTGGCGATGAAGGGCAGATGGTCATCATCTGAAACACAAAACATGGCTGTTGTCTCCGACGCCTTTAACCTTACGTCTATTGATGAGCTGTTTTTCAAAATAAAAGCATCAGCGGGTGCTTTTATTGTAACTGAGCTGTAGGTGAATAATAATGGCTTAGATATTAAAAAAAAAAAAAAAACTCTCCTGGGGGATAAAATGACTCTTTTAGGTGATAAAACCTTCCGTTTTGTGCTAGCCGTCCATCTTTGCCCTCATGACGTCCATTTTGTGTCTCCAGGCTGTTTTAAAGATGACCGCATCGTTTTCTGGACCTGGATGTTCTCCACCTACTTCATGGAGAAGTGGGCGCCGCGGCAGGACGACATGCTGTTCTACGTCCGCAGGAAGCCAGCCTATGTCGGCGCAGACAACGGCGAGGCCAAAAAGGTGAAAAATAATCCGACATTCCAGATTTCTGCAGGTGTTTTTATCAGTTTCCTTTTCCTGATGATGTCCAGGACAGAAAACGTCTGAGTGCTGTTGGATATATTCAGTGGTTGTTAGAAAGCAAAAACGGTATTAATTCAAGGACATAATTTCAATTTTTAATTAACTGAATATGAAATGTTTAATCAGCTCTCATGATTCCAGCAGGAGGAATAAAAATCTGCACTTCCTCTTTGTGAAGCTTGTAGAAACAGGAACATAAAACCTGATAAAGTTATACACTATTATACACTTTTTGTCCAAAAACTATGCTTCACTTTAGTTTCTTTTTAGATGAAAATACATAATATATAAAAGTATAAATGCATGCTCCTTCCATTTATTGAGGCATTTAAATCTTTTCTTTCAGGTTATGAGTTATTATTGAGTATTTACATCTTGACTTCCGTCATATTTTCTGCATCACTCTCCTGCCTTTGACTGAATCTAATCACCACAGCAGAAAATAGTCTGGGTTTTCATTCAGCAGCAGATTGAATCTATATTTGCCATTTCAGGCCATCAGTGGCCATCGTTTCCGTCCGCAGGTCAGACCTCACAAAGGCCAGATGTAATAACACGGATTGAGGCGAAGGGCACGGCAGCAGCCACTGGTTCTCTGATCAGGGAGGCTTCGTCCAGCCTGCACTGCAGATCTTAGTGGAATCGTTTCCCAAAACAGAAAACCAGAATCTCCTGACCTGTAGGCGGATTCTCTGCAGCAGCAGAGATGAGACTCCAAGGACGGAGAAATGCTGAACGAATGAGCAAAGTGAGATTAAATATTTTATTCTTAATTTAATCAGCTTTTATCTCAACAATTTACCGTTGTATATGACTTCAACAAAACATCTAAATACACAAACTAATGAAGGACTGGAATATCAGTCACAATTCATTTAAATATTAATTCCTTTTCATTTTGGAGGCTCTTTTAGTTTCTGTGTTTCAACATGTAAATTATTGTTTATTTCCAACATATTAATATTTAACATCACTCCCAACTCTGAGTGTCTGTGAAAGCTTTGTCCTTTTTCTCTTTTTATAATTACATTTAGAGAGCGCAGACTCTGTCTGCCTTTTGTAGTTTGTCCCACGTGCCCCTCCGTCTCCGGTTGCCATGGTTACTGCCTTAGAGTCCAGCTCAGCGTAACACTTTTCCTCCTCTTCAGACAGAGGAACTACTGACTGCTAACGCAGCAGCGCCACGGCTTTAAAACCGGGCCGAACCTCCAGAACTTTTCCTCTGGATTCACCCGCTGCTTTCTTTACGCGCTGAGAGATTTAAACGTGACGGTTCTCCTGAACCAACCGGTAGAAATACCTGAAAGGGAGAGCTCTGCCCTGGTGTTTCTGTCTTGGTTAGATTCCGAGACAGATCACAAACACGTCTAACAGGAAATCCTCCAACCACATGATCTGGTTTTTCCAGTCGTTACCCTAATCATTAACCTTAACCGTAAATTAAAACTTTCCCATTTGAATCCTCTTGCTGCTCCAGCATTTTCAGGTTCATCAGCCTCCTCCTCTGCGTATGAAGCCGCCATGCCTCACTGCATCCTGCTTTCATCATCCTCATTTTAATTTGTCTCATCAGTTTTACCAGCAGAGGAAAACAAGTCGGAGTTCTTGCCAATCTTTAACTTGGAACAGCCGATTGTGCTGAAACAAATTATCAGCATTCTTTACCATTTGGTTTTTGTCTACAAAACTGATCAAATCATCATTTAATCAGGGTATAGTAGTCAAGACAGCTTTTATATTTTGTATTTCAAATGACATTTGAATCTAAATCACTATATTATTGTACAGAAATGATCTTAGAGGGCCTTAAATATTATTTTGCAAATCAAACTTTTGCATAAGTAGCGCGAGATCCTCGTTTTTTTGGTCCACTTCTTTTGAGAATATCTATTCTTCCTTTAATATATAAATTCAATATATTTTAATATATAAATTTAATCATATTAAATATATAAATTGTCATGTTCCTGTCCTGTTGGAGGTTGTTTTTTTATTGTTCTGGTATAAATATGACTTTTGTTTCAACAGTACATCTGGTTCAGTCTTAGGTTTCATTAAAAATTGTTTTGTTCATTTTAATTTTCTTGTTTTAATGTTTTTGCTGCTTCTTTCGAAGAGTTTTATGTTTAATCTGGTCTTTAAAAAATTTAGTAAAAGAGTCAAACCTTCCATGAAGGTCGCATGAAGAGTTTCTGGGATGATCTTAGTATTTGACATCCAAATACTAAATGAAGATCGGCGCCTCTCCTCACTTCCGTTTAGGAAACATGAACTTCAGTCGGTCAAAAATCAACATTTTTAACGTTTTTTTTCACCAACAAGAACACAAAGACTTTATAATCAACTAGTTGTCTTGTTTCCTCCATGAAGCTTTTTCATCCCATCAGCTCTGCACATACAAACGGGCGTTGTCATGGCGACCATTCTGGCTCTCTAAAAGGTCTGTGAGTGATACGATTCCTGGCATTTGGAGACTTGGGATCTCCATGAAGAGCATCTGACAGGAAGGAAAAACAAAAGCATGAAACGTCTCACACCTGGGGAGCGAAAGGAAGGATTAGAAGCAAATAAACATTAAATACTCTTTAATCCTACAGAGTTATCAGATTCTACTACAAGGAGCATCTGATTACTACGTTTTGTGTTTTTAGGTGGAGGTGGAGGTCTACAGGAGGGACTCCAAGAAGCTTCCGGGTCTCGGTGACCCAGACATCGACTGGGAGGAGAGCGTCTACCTGAATCTGATCCTGCAGAAGGTAAATCTGCTGAATTCTCACCAAATAGGGCGACACAAAGAGACGACCACATCAGCGTTTATCTTTGAGCTCAGAGTGGAAGTCTGTCTTCAGTTTCCTGTCTCCTGGTTTTTGGCTTTTTAAACCATTTTTATTCAAATTAAAGGTCATATTTGCTGAGATGGTTTTGTTTGCTAATTTTTATCCAGCTCTGATGTTTCAAACATCAGAGCTGAAGTTTGTATGTTTTAAACAGCTTTTGGAGTGATTTTTATCCCTATTAAAAAAGCTGCAGGAATGAACAAATCAAACCATGATCATCAGCACTCAACCTGCAGTAGAGATAATGTTGTAGCTCTTAGCAAACAAAATGGATGAGCAGTATTATGACTGTCTCCCCGTTCCTACACCGATGGATGAACTAACCTGAGTTCTCCATTTTCCCCCAGCTGGATTACGTGGTGACGTGTGCCGTCTGCACGCGCTCAGACGCCGGAGACATCCACATCCACAAGAAGAAATGTCAGGTAGGAAATCGGCGCCGCCACCAGGAAGTTACCTCGACTTTGTTTCTCTCATCTTTTCCAACTTTCTCCTCCAGGAAGTTTTTGCATCTCCCAGTAAACACGCCATGGACATCAAAGGAGAGGAGTCCAAGATGAGCTACCCCAACATCTTCTTCATGATCGACAACTTTGAAGAGGTAGAGACGCCTCTCTGATCCTAAAACCAGATAGTTGCTGCTGTATTGAAGCGTCACCTCTGACCTTTTCACTCTATTTAGCACTGAGCTCCTTATTTAACAACCTTTTTCGCTGGAGGAGTCAGAGATCCATTATTTTGATGTTCTGATTTAGCTCTGCTCTCCGCCTGTGTAGGTGTTCAGAGATATGACTGTGGGCGAGGGCGAGATGGTGTGTGTGGAGCTGGTGGCGAGCGATAAGAGCAACACCTTCCAGGGCGTCATCTTCCAGGGATCCATCCGCTACGAGGCGCTCAGGAAGGTTTACGACAACCGGGTCAGAACCAGAACCCAAACACTCCGCTAAAACCTGCATGTAGCTGCAGCTGCTTCATGCTAAGTGTCATGTTAAAGGTGACCTATTAAGCTTCCTTGAACAGGCTTAGGTTAGGTCCATATGCAAATGGAAGTACAAAACTTGCAAAATGTAAGTTTTGCATAATAGGTCTCCTTTAAATATTTAATTCCAGTACAATAAACTCAGTTGCAGTCCTGCGCAGTGTGTTTATGTGTGTATGGTTGTTGCAGGTGAGCGTCGCTGCTAAGATGGCCCAGCGGATGTCCTTTGGCTTCTACAAATACAACAACATGGAGTTTGTGAGGATGAAGGGGCCACAGGGCAAAGGTCACGCTGAGATGGCCGTCAGCCGGGTGCCGACAGGCGACACGTCTCCGTGCAACACGGAGGAGGACCAGGTGTCGCCGATGCACGAGAGGGTGAGGCTAAAAACCAGCTGGTGGCGCCGCAGAGAGAAAGTCCAGTAGAGCAACAAGAAACTTTATGATGAAACCAGGTCACCATCCATAATGAATGCAGGCGAATGAATTATGTATTATTCTACAATCTGATGCTTAAAATCATGTCTGGTTTACAGCCTGAGCTCAAAAGGAAGATAATCTTTTTCTCTTAATTACAAACAAAATAATCAATGGTTAATCGATCATTGAAATAATCACCAACTAATTTAGTTATCGATTAAACATTTCCTAAAATATACAGACAAAAGAACATAATTTGGGCCACAGACAAAGCAGTAATTGAGCCAAAACTGTACAAAAACATAAACATTTTGCATTTATTTGTCTATAAATATGTTTTATCTCCACCCTGTTCAAATTCTGCAACAAATAATCAACAGATCAGCTCTGAACTGTATTGATAAGTGCAGCAGAAAAGCTGAGCTTTTCTCATGTTGATGTTAAAAGTATTTTTACCTTCAAATGATCAATAAACGAATGCTTTACCACATTTTAGGCAATACAATGTGTATTTTCTTTAGATAAAATAAATAAAAATGAATCCTAAGATGTTTCTATTTTATATTGGTATATAATAATCTGAAGTAATCAAATGAAAATGTGCCAATTTTTTTTTTTATCCAGTTGATCGATTAATTGTTCAAATAATCAACTGAAATAATGTTGGTTTCAGTTTAATTTTCTTGCATTTCTGCTGTTTGTTTGTATGACCTCATCGGCTTCCTATGGTAAACGTGGCTGTTGTTGTCAGGTGACGTCGTTCAGCACGCCTCCGACCCCGGAAAGGAACCGTCCGTCCTTCTTCTCTCCGTCGCTGAGGAGAAAAGTTCCCAGAAACAGGATTGCAGAGATGAAGAAGTCTCACTCCGCCAACGACAGCGAGGAGTTCTTCAGGGAGGAGGAGGACGAAGGTGAACTCACCGGTTTTTATTTCCTGATGATTTATTCAGCCAGATTTCAGCTCTGGTTCTGGGTTAGTGGTTATAGAGCGTTTGCACTGTGACATCACTGACCGTCTCCTCAGATATTCACGGGGCCACCAACCTTCGCTCGCGCTCGCTGTCTGGAACTGGCCGCTCGCTGGTCGGCTCCTGGCTCAAGCTGAACCGGGCCGAGGATTACTTCCTGCTCTACTCACACCTGACCTACGTCACGCTGCCGCTGCACCGCATCACCACAGGTCAGAGCGCTGCAGCACACTGCCACCTGCAGGCGGAGAGCTGCCACAGCAGGAGAAACACATCAGCTTCTCTAATTCAAATAAAAACTTATTTCAGTCTAAAAAGTGAAACTCTTAGCTTCAGATATTTCACTCTGTTTGGAATGAACCTAATTCAGTTTCTAAGATAACTTAATTGGATTTCACTACAGAAATGTTTTATTCATGGTACGACTCTATTCTGTAACAGATATTTACATGATAGTCTAATAGATTATCGTATTTAATGCCTTAATAAAATGATTAAATATAATTTATTCATAATTGAATAGCACACAGAGTATATTTTATAATTCATCAGTATGTATAATAATTTAAATATTGATTTAGTCGTGACGTTATGAGTGGCATCAGAGTTTAACAAGAAATGCATAATGAAAAAACATATTTGTACATAATTCAAATTACTACATATGAAATTACAGTGGCAACCACAAAACTCTCCCCAATCCTTCTCAAGCTGGATGCATTTTTATGTCTAAATACCGTATTATTATATAAAACATGAATTGAATGGATCAATTTCTTGTCTCTACTCTATGTATACATTTGTGGATATGTGGATGTATATATATTTTATTTTTCTTCCTTTTTTACCTTTTAAGGAGAATATGTTTGTTTTTTTTTCATGTGCCTCAAAATAAAATGGCTAAAAAGTAATTAAATTACTTAGGCTGTCATTGAAATATTCATTTAACTTCAGATTGTTAAACATTCAATAAAACTAATTGTTTCTGATATTCACTGACTTGTAAGATGTTATAAAATGGTTGGGGGGAGGAATCAACAAATCTAAGTATTTCTGCTACAAAAATTCACCCTCTGATCAACAGAACCGTGTTCGGCTCTAAAAGCTGGACTTGTTTCCTGAAAGCTGAGACGTTTCCAGCTCTGCTCTTTGTGTTTGTGTGGCAGACATCCTGGAGGTGAGGCAGAAGCCCATCCTGATGACATAACAGAGCTGGATTCCCCCTCAGAGCATCTTTACAAAGTGCCTCCACCATCAGGCCACTGAAACAGCAGCGCCCCCTGGTGGCCGGACGGAGACCTGCAGTCAATCGCCAGCTTCACTCAGGAGACGACGGAGGTGCAGAGACGCTCCTCAGACAAACCAGCCATTCAGGAAGTGCCTCCTCTTCTGTCCGACGCCCTGCCGAGCTGACGTCGTCTCCATGGAAACGGACCGTGTGACCTCAGCGTGAACAGGCATTGGCCCGAACTCTGACCAGGAGGAAGAGGGAAATGAATGTTTGTTTTTTTTCTTGTAAATATCTGCTGCTTTACTCACTGAGACGCCTTGACTGAAGGTTGTGCTTTTAAAGACCGTCGTCTGTTGCCGAGCGACGAGTCACACAGCTCCTCTTTTCTAATCCCTTCACCGCGTTCGGCTGACGGTCGATCATGTGGGATCTACGATTTTATCACCACAAACACAGAACATCTGGGTCAAAATCGAACTTTATCCTCTGTTAGAACTAATACATGTTTTGCATTTACTCTTTAATCTCATGAAAGTTGTAATAAAGATGAAAATGTCAAATTGGGAATAAATTCTCAATAAGGAATTTGATTTGTAAAATTATAACTTTGAGGAAAAATTTTTTTTTTTGTTCACATTTGTATTACTAAGCAGTTGATGAGCAGGTTTTTCTTTTTTTTCTTTTTTTTTTACATAAAAATTCTAGAATAAAACACTAACTGTAGTTAAATTTGCAAAATATTACTCATTTAATGTCATTATTTCAAAATTCTTGTTTTGACAGTTTGGTCAGATAATTTCCTCAAAATTTAACATGAGTACTTAATTTGACTTTATTTTGAAAATAATCTTGGTGAAAGATAATTCTGATATTTTTTCATATTTTTATTTATTTACTAAGAAACCAGTTTCATTTACTTGCTTTTTTTAAATGAAGTTAAATAAATATATGTGGACTTATTTCAAGCAACTAAAATCGTAACTGACGACTGTAAAAAAAAAAAAAAAAAATTAAATAAAAGTTTAAGTAAAAGCAAATATTTTAACTTCAACATGACAAACATGTTTGCTTTTATTCTCAGTCTCTGACTTTACACAACTGACTTCAGTTCCAAACTTGAATTTAAATGAAAAATAACAGATTTTAAAGGGAAAACTGCAGAACTGAACGGTTTGTAAATGTAAAATAAGTGAATCAATTTTCTCCTTGTGTTCCTGAAGCCTTAAATCTCTGTGAAACTTTCTTCTCTTTTCACTTTGTTCTTATTTGAACATTTTCCCCTCCAAACCGCCACACTGAAGCTTTACGCTGTTCTCACCTGTCCACTGGAAACTTAGCAGCTTCTGTGCTAAAAAAATGTTTTGTCTTCATGGGTTTATTTACCTGTTAATCAGGTAACCAGTTAGCTCACCCGTCAGCTGTTATTGATCAGATTTGTCTGTACTTTTCATCGATCAAAGTTTGTTTTTCATCAGTGTTGTGTGTAAGTTGTGAAGCTTTTCCTCGGTCCAGGAGACCCGATGGCTCGTCTCTTCAGTGTTATTGATGATGTAGTTAGTGGAGCCGCCAGCTGAATGTATCCTCACCGATCAGAAACAAAGACTGCTTTAATCCAGAGACGTATGACTGAGGACACGGTTTGCACTGTAAAACGCTTTTAGCGCCTTTTGGAAGCTGTTGAGATGTTTTGTTGACGTGTTCGTACATCACAGCTTTTGTACACAGTTATTGTGCATGTTGGCGGTCTTCTTCTTCTGTTGCTCACTTTACAAACGCTACATTTTCCTCTATTTATTTATTGAAATACACATTAGCAGAAAACATATTTTGTCTTTTTTGGCTCTAATTATCTCTGCTTTTAATTTACTTTCCAACAAATCTCATGTGACTCATAAGACATATCTAGTTTTCTAACTAAATAGGTTTCTTAGAACATAGTTGTCCCAAAATAGGATGATTTTAATGTAATAAACTTCAAGTATTGATGGAGAGAATAGCTGACTGCATCGTTACATTAGAATAAATGAAACTATGAATTGCAGAAAAATTCATATTTTTAGTTTAAAACAAAAATAGGAATTATTTTTGTTTATGAAGTTTCATGAAGTTCATTCATATTAAATAACATGGAAAGTGAACATTTCTCAAAAATGTTCTTAATTATTCTAAATCCGTTTACTCTCCTTCAAAAGGAAGAAACGTAAATAATGATTCAAACTCATTTTTAACTGAAGACACTCAGCTGATGAGTTGGATGAGCTTTAGGAAACGTCTGCAATGTAATCCGAGCATAAAACGCTTTAAAATTAAACAAACACGTAATTTTATAGTTTAACTATTGAGCTGAAATTAACGGGACACTGATGATTCTGGTTAATAAATTCCTGAACTGATTTTATGGATTATTCTGTAAACACCTGTAGCCTTTTGTTTCATCTTAACCGGATGTTGTAATTTGTACGGTCCCTAATGTTTAACAGCCGGTGTTGTGCTCACTTCCGTTCCCCGTTCCGTTTAACTCCCCTCCGCGGTGACAACGAACCTAAGCTCAGCACCTGCTGCATACAAACACTACAGCCCCGTCTCTACGGTTAATAAACTCCGTTTATGTCGAACATTACCACTTTAATTTTTGGCATTCAAGATAAACGAGCTATTATGTTACATTTATTATCATACTTTTATTTTTTATGTAAACCGGGGCGAGTCATGGTGAGAACTAGGACGCTCTTATTAGCTTCTCTACACATTTGAAGTGTAGCCTTGAATGCAAATCCTGGCAGAAATACTTACATTTGTGAGTGTCTTTGTTTACTGCGCAGCCATCTTGTCGGTGTTGGTGAAAAAATTAGGAACATTTCAGCCTTACCCTCCCCCTGCGAGGGTCGTCCCAATATTTGCCAAAATAGGGGGAGGGGATGAGATGCGGCTGTTTGACCTCCAGACGGAGAATATTCTGGAACACATTTTAAAACATTAAATGAATGCTTATAGTGGCATTTTTATGTACCTCGCTAAATGAGGGGGTATAGTGTTTAAAATGTTCCCCTAAGAAATGAGACGCCCTTCAACTATAAGTTACATCAACAAAAACATGGCCATCTTCCTGCTTTTTCTACATTTTACTCAGTTGTAACACTCGTGACTTTAAGTGCAACAAATAAAACTCACAGAAAAGGCCACTATATCCAAGCATATTATTGGTAAAGTGGAACCAAGCATATTATTGGTAAAGTTAAGTGGAAGGACAAAGTGCACTGGAACTTGAACTTTGGAGGATTTAAAATTGAATAAACACAAACTGAATTCAACCCATGTAGACTGTGGAATGATGGTGTAAGCATTATGCCATGAATACATTTTGATGTGTTCAGACAGATCAGTTTGATTACATCAAAATGCTTGAAAAGGCCATGTTGACTTATGAGGAATAGAAAACAAAAACTGCTAAAATAAAATTTGGAGCTTTACTTACTTTGTAAACAAACTTGTAATTTAGATGAGTTTGAAAACAAAACCAGGTTATGACAGCCACGCGGCCAGGATCGTTTGTTTCCTTTTATTCTTTACAAATGAGTCTCATCCTGAAGGCCAAACA